TTGCAGCCCAAGGGGCAAACAGGTCCGTAGAGGTCAGTCAGGCTGTGCTCAAAATGAGCACTGGTTCCAACAAGGAGCCTAACCCGCCCGTCGTGGTGGAGCACGAGAGGTGCGTCTATCCCCATGTTGAAAAGTGCGCAACGGTCTGCAATTTTGTATAGATTAGATTAACGGAAAATATTCGCACGATTGAATATGATATTCTTTGTCTTAAATTTTGAAATCCTCTTTTGAAAAGTTTTCCATTGTCTCTATGTGCATTGATTCCGCTACTCGAGTCTGAAATAAATCCGCCATAAAAACAAAACAGGCAAACGGCTGGTTTTGTTTTTTCAGCGTGCATGTGCGCAACTTATGTGGCAAGAGAAAAGAACATGGTTGAATGTGTTGCATTTTTTTGATCAAGCACCAGATGTTTTAGCAGCAGAATCTTCATCATGTATTGGGACATCGTGTTGGAATCCTTGAAAACAAAGAACAATCCCCTGGACCTACATATAAGGCGGAAGATGCCAAGCAAACTTACGAGCACACTCCTGATTTAAATGTATTAGATTGCTTTGCGTTGATGGTGTGCCATGAATGTTCATGGGTCCAATGGTGCCATCCAGAGGGCGACGTGTCCGTCGTCGAAATGGGCCAGCACTTCGCTTACAACTAATTAGATGTCTTGAATTACTATGCAGATTGCTCGTGTCTTTTGTGGGGAGGATCTCTCCACTTGCAAGCCTTCGCTTGCAATCATAGCCTTGTCCTGATCTCAGAAAACATTGCAACATCAGACTGGGCCTGCGACAGTGTGCGACACTTGTCAAATTTGGTTCTTCGCAACCGTTCATGATGTGGCCAAGTCTGGAGCTTTGTTGCAGGCTTCTGGGAGTTCAGCTCGGCACGTTTGTCTTGCCTATCCCAGTCTCCAAATTCGTTGGTTTCTCAGTTTGTTTGTGGTAGGCTGCGAATTGGTGCAAAGGATCTTTTGGCAGTTTGTTTTACATCACGTTCCAAGGCGGGACGGCTGCGTAGGCAATGCCGAGGTCTGAGGAAATTGCAAACTTGTAGGGGAGAGAGGAATCGTTGCTTTGTGGGGCTCGATCCATTTTGACGTCAGCTTGTTTACGGGCTTGCAGGTGTTGCTTTGACAGCTTGTGCAGCAGGACCTGAGGCGCGCGAGCCCAATCAAGGGTTCGGGATGATCTGCACGCTGTCAGGATGCAGATGATCCTTCAGAAGACGAGGCACGTATGCCATTTGAGCTTGGAACCACACGTGTAGACATTATCGGTCTAAGCTATCATATGTTGGGAACTTTGCAAGTCTTAGCTTTCTTTGTGCTGCTGCTGTTAAATGTTTCCTATCCCTAAAGTGAGTAACTTTTGGCACATCATGTATTGATTTTTCCCAGTTGCAGACACATCAACTTCTTCGCAACGTGGCATTCATGGGAGCCCAAAACTAGGAATCCTCTCCTGGCTACAATTGGCTTCCAAATTTTGACATAGATACTTTGTTAGAACATGTTGTGATAATATACTGTCATATACCTATAAGACATTGTGGTACATCAGAAAACATTGAAACATACTATGGTATATCATAATTAGTATATCATACAAAAAAGTTATCATATGCTACGTACTATTTACCATAGTATATGGGCTCGACGCTTGGTGACCGTAGTCGCCTACAAGACTGGGCAATTTTTATTACACATAACTTCACCTCCATCTTTCCGTGTTAGCTACACCAAGCAGGGAAGCAGACACGCGACTCTCCAGCAAGGGGCGAACTTGGCTCATAGTGAGGGAATTGCCCAAAATCAGGCTTCGAACCTAAGCTCCACATATGCAACGCTCATGTATAGGCTACAGATATTTTCGGGCTTTGTGTGCATTGTCAGGTATCCAAAGAACTGCGTCGGGCACAGGAACGGCTGACAAAAAGCTGGAATGAGGCCAGCTTTTTGTGCCAGCTTTAAAGGGCACTCGCCACAGCATTGAGGGGCTACATGGGGATTTTTAAAGGGGTTCAAAAGGAACGAGATGGGGATGTATATAGGGGTATGCAGGGATTTAATTCTGCGCTTCCACTGTTTCTGTTTGCAGGGTGGGTCGGCTGCGAGCTCCTTCTCCTCCTTACCATCAGGCGGCTGCATGCTGCCCCGAAGAACCTCGCCTTTAAGACTTGCTTACAGCAGAGGCTTGGGGTGAATGAGACCAAATCGTGATTTTCTCCAGCAGGCGAAGACTGGACCGTTGAGAGGCAGGTTGAGCTGTTACAGCAAGCAGTCCTAGTCGGTGAGGCATTTCACGGATTCTGCATGGACCCAGAACGTTGCGTGAAGATGGCAGTATTGCAGCATTAAACAATGATTGTGTAGTCTATGGAGAAGCCGCTAGGCTTCAGATCGCTAGTGGTCTTCCGCCTGCTGGAAGTGTCGCTGCCTCATTGACATGGCACCTTGCCAAATAACGCATCTCAGGTACTGTTTGCGTTGGCTCTGTACAAAGCTTGCTGTAGTTAGAAGGGACTTGCCTAAAACTTGCACTTGCGCAGCAACATGTGTGTTCCAAATTGTTTGTTGGAACGACATACAGGGGCATGCCATCAGCGCTCTTGAGCTTCGGTTGCACAGGTCTTGCTGGCGAATCCTCGCCGCTACTTTGCAACGAGTGGTGGGCTTGCGGCATGGCGGACTCAGTGTTGAGCTCAGCAATCACCGAGTGAGCGTGGCATTGGGTAGAAATTCAAAAGTTACATTGAAGGAGACGATTAAGGAGAAGTAAGCCAGGGCTCCAAAACGCTTCACCTACTTCATTTGAAGGGCCTATGACCCCAATAGTAGCTTCCATTTTCTTCTTTTCCATTATCCCTATATACCCCCTATATACTCCATATATAGCCCCTATATATGGGAGAAGGTGTCCGCAGTCCGCAGAGGCTTTCACGTTTCTAATGCACCTAAGGCGACCTCCAGTTTTCGAGGGGTCTCGTCGTGATAAGGCGAACCTACCTGCCCGATGCTCAGGACCTGTCCTGCAATGACCACAAGAGACTATAACATAGTTTAACTTAATATAGTATTCCATAATATACTAGAATATATCATGACATACTATAATGTACACCAATGTATATGATGATTTACATTATATTATCCTAAACCCTAAATTTACAATATAATTCACAATGTTCTGGCTCAGGTTGTGCTTCTCTTACGAGTGTCCAAATTCCAGGCTGAGGCCTTGCGATGTCCTTTGTGTTTGAGACATATCCTTCACAGGCATTGTATAGGTTATTTAGGGATTTTTAGGTTTAGGGTTTAGGGTCTGACGGTGGTTATTTAGAGATTATGTAGCAATTTATAAGTTTGAGAGATGGCCTTTAAAGGGGTTATATTTTTTCATGTTGAGATGTAGAGGTGTTTTTAGAAGAAAACTTCTCGATTTGAACCAAAGTCGTCCACACACTGTAATATCGTTGTAAACAACCCTGAGCCCAAAACCCATGAATGCAGGCATCAAAGTCTGTGGGGTTTAAAAAAGCCGTATAAATCCCTACCTAACCCCCATATGAACCCTATACAACCCCTCTAGAATCCCTATACTACCCTATATAACCAGCATACATCCAAATCCCGGAACCCTAAACCCCAAAACCCTAAACCCTACAAACAGGGATTGGTGCTGGGCTCGTGGTCTGGACAACTGATGGGCGACCTTGGCTTCGAGGCCAGCTCTCCTCCCCTAACTGGAAGCGCGCAGTTTAAAAGGACTCCTGTAGATATATAGGAGTATATAGGGATATACATATATATATATGTGTGTATAGGCATATGTAGGGATGTACATATATATATATGTATATAGGCATATATAGGGATATACAGGGTCTATGCTTTAGGAGACTCCAAACAGGGAACCAAGGATTTGGGGTTTAGGGGCTAGGGATTCTACAGGGGTTCTAAGATTCTATAGTTATTATATACCTCAGAATAGAAGAAGAAAATGGAAACTGCTATTTAGGGTCTAGGGTTTAGGGTGTAGAGGTTGTAATAGGGAACCTCAAGAATAGAGCTTCCAGGCTGCTACATTCTTGGGGTTGTTTGTTTGGGGCCGCATTAGAGCCCTAAAGCCTATACATCCCCATATATATCCCTATGTATCCAAATGCGAGTCCTTGTACAGGTCGTTTATGCCGCGTTTGCTGCCTTTGCGCAGGGTTTCATGACAAGACCGTTGTACGTTGGCGGAGTCCAGCCCCCAAAGCCTCTTTGATCACAACAATAATAGTACTGATAACAGTAGTAATAATCATAGTAATTCTAAAGCTAGTACTAAAGTTATACTAATTGCAGTAAGGATAGGAGTCATAATAGTAACAGTCAAAATTGCGTTCATCTCCAGGGCTGGGGAGAGAGAATGGGTTTGGCATGGGCCTAGTTGGCTTGCAACTTTCCGCAATCACTTTAAGGTCAACACAACACAGATTTCATGGGTGCACTCGTGAGGACCTGAGCCGTCTACTGATAGCTGATAGCGTGTGTATTCTTTCATCAATCGCTCTTTGGACCCTGAGCCAAGGTATCCCAATATGCCTGGGGCCACAAAGCTTACCGATGACGGTCTTGCCTGGAGGTTCATTACCCGCAGCGGTGCAGGTTGATAATGTTTTCTTGCCCCTGCTGACCCCTTCAAATTTTACGCAGGTCTCTATACAGAGCTTGACTGACAAGGTTCCATGGACACCTTGGCAAATTTGGGCTCAGCTTGGTCTCGGTCATGGTAGCTTTTGCTTCTGCCCCTTCCTCGCAGTCCACATTATGGCAGAAGCATGAACCACCAGTTGATTTGCTCTGATAGCAGATACTTCGCATAAGTCTTGACATGTTGCAGTGCTCATACGTCAGCTGATGTTACATGACGGCTGGTTTCACGTTGTTCCTCAGGCTTTAGTTACTTGCGTCATCAGAAGTTGCCGTAGGACTGCAAGACCTGCTCGCAATGCGATGCAAGATCCCTTTGGATGGCCCGTGGCATGATGGTTGGACATGGCATCACATAGTCGCAACAGCAATCGCATCTTTTTTGGCCCTGTGGTGCTGGCCGTCCTCGCAGTTCATTTCTGGCCAGCGGGCCACTCACACTCGGGCCACCATGGTTGCAAGACGCGCTGTCTCCCAAAATCCGTTCGATGTTCTTGGATTGTCACGGGGCGCAACCTATGATGAGATTCGGTCAGCTTTCCGCAGTCTTGCCAGGACTGACCAGGCTAGACTTTGCTACCATTTTGCTCCAACCATGTTACAAAAGCTTGTTGTGTGCGATTCATTAGTTCCGTCTTGGCTCGCATCAGCTAACTTGATGGCATGCGGCAGGACCTACCATCCTGATGTGCCAGGCCTGGCCACATGGAAGCTCATTCATGTCGAAATCCATCGTAGCATGTGGGACTTGTCAGGTACTGGTGACGAGGATCGTTTCCGTTCCATCCGTGAGGCCGTCACTGGAGTATTGCGACAAGCGCTGTGGCCTTTACAAGATGCTGCAGGCTCTAGAAGAACTGGGCACACCGCAAGGCTTCCGTTAGGTCCCCTCATCTCATTTTCCCCCCCGTGCTCCTCGTGACAAGGTCGAGCCCGGTGGTCTTCCGCTACCAGCCATCGCACAAGCTCCAACGGCTTCAGCTACAGCAGCACTTATGCCAGCAGCTACAGCAGCTACAGCAGCGGCTACAGCAGCGGCTACGGTGGTGGCTACGGTAATGACCACGGCAGCGACTACGACAGCCGAAGGCTCCGGCTCTGAAGTCCAAAGTTGTGCTCGAGGTCAGTCAGCTGACTGCGAGGCAAAGTCAGAGCTGGGAACAAGAGGTCCGCAGCCGCAGGGCTCGAAAGGAAGAACAGAGAACGAGGTAGGCTGGCATCAGGATGGCAGCACAGGTGACGAAACTCTCTCTCTAGCTCCCTCTCTCTCTGCAGGCAGCAACAGAAGCGGGAAAGAGATGCACAGAAGCAGGTGCTTCATGCGTTGCATTTTATATGTTCCTGTCAGCAAAAGCAAATTACTGCATGCCAGCTTCATGTCACAAGATAGATGGGAACAAATCCCCTTGCTGCGGCAGATTGCAATGTCTTTGCCAGGACGTGTTCTTTGAGCGGGAGCTGCAAAAGGCATCCGATGATGTTCGATGTCAGCATGCTGGGATTTGCACAGACCTGGATCACTTGGAAAGCCTCAGCTGCTATCACTAAGCTATATTATCCCCCTATAGTGGAGAAGCAAATGGAAAAGAGATTGGAACATGAACTGGAAACTGGGGGAACATGGGGATTTAAGGAATTTAATTTGAGCACTATCACAACCCTGGAATATATTGCAGTTATATAGGCATAATGGAAAACGGAAACTAAAGGCATTATAGGGATTATATAGATGTTATATGGGGATCATAGCACACCTTTGAGAGCTTTTCGTTTGCGTGAGAATCCTAAACCCTAAACGTCTACGCCTTTTTCCGTCTGCACTGAAGGCCTTCTATCGTGCGACTGCCTAAGTAGGCCTTCCGTGCAGAGGGAAAAAGGCGTAGCAAAAAAAACAAAAACGAGCCTAAAGCCTAACATGCGTGTTAGCATCCAGACACGTTCTAGTCCACTTGGGTGCTCGGTGCAGTTTGTGGTGAGGATACCGTGATACAGTTTAGGGAGTTCAGGGTTTAGGGATTAGGCTTTCGGGTCTGAGACAGTGACACTACATGTCTCAGCATCTTGCATTGTGCCTTCAGAAGCTTGGTGCTCAAATCGGGTTTGAACAAACAACGCCTGCTAGTCATGATGCACTTTGTCCGAGCACGCTCCAAATCTGAGCAAACCAGCTGGCCACACGAAGCAAGATCAATCCTAAATCCTAAACCCTCGATAGTAGCTTCCATTTGAGTTTCCATTATTCCCTATATAATCCCAATGTAACCCCAATTAAACCCTAAACCCTAAGCCCCAATGTGGCAATGCCATGAGGGTAGACTGGCCTTGCGCCTAGCATGCCTCTGACGGTCCCAAAGCTCGGAAGTTTCTCAACAGGCCTGCGCCGGCTTTTTGTAGGGATATGATCAGGTCATTAAAGCGAGGGGTTAGGAGTTCGGGTCTTTTCGGGCGTTTTTAGGGATATTAAAGCCATATCATTCCGGATGTTTTAGGAATGTTATAGGGATATTACACGAATATCATGACAGGGGGTATGATAGGGTTATCGTGTCTTGCTGCAATGTTATCGCTGCAAATTTCTCCCACAGCTTTCAGGCTCCTGATGGCACCGAGAAAGTTCGAGAAAGGAGACCGCGTGCGATTTTGCGGCTTGGTGCCTTGCATGACCTGTGATATCCTTATAGTAAGCCTGTAGTATCCATATAGTAAGCCTATAGCATCCCTAAAAGAACCCTGTAATATCCTATCCCTATAAGGTGCCTGTGAGGTTTTTGCACGCGTGGGATCTGTAAGCTGTACACAGTTTTCAAGCTGTTTGCAGCCCCAAGGTGAAGACGCCCGAAGACAATGGAAAAGAAGGACTTATCCTAGGTTACGACGAAGCGAAAGAACGATACCAGGTGCGCATAGGCTTCAAGCCAAAAATTCTCCGAGCATTTTGTTTTCCCAGGTGGCTGTGTCCTGGAGACCGCCCGTCAATTTCCGGGAGAAGCTTCTTGGCTGTGCTGATTGCTTTTCTTGCGTGTATGCTGCGCAATCCCATTCGCATCTATGTCATGAGATGCTGGCACCAACTCGTACGCACGGCCCAGGAACATGGAGAAGATACCTGAGCCCGTCCAGACACAGGCGGATGCATCTGAAAGGCTGGGGCCGAGTGCCTTCCCCAAGCGAAGAAAACGAAGGATTCCAGAATTGCAGGTCTCCGTCTGAGGGGAACAGCGAAGGGAAAGATCAGAAGTCAAGGGAGTCACGACGTCGCAAGAAGAGCAGGACCCATTTTGTAAGACCAATGGTATTCTTGCTAAACCCTAAAGCCTAAACAGTAATTTCCCCAATATAACCAGAATAGAACCCCACCAAAACCTTAGCATAAGCCCAGTGTAACCATTCTTGGTGTGTGTTTGTTAAGCCAGCCAACAGGAGCAGGTCTTCACATTCTCGGAAGCGCCGGAGGACCGAAGGGGCACATCCGGCCATCCTCCCCTCTAAATGCCCACAGCCGCCCGATAACATTCTTCGGGGTTTAGGGCTTAGGGCCTGAAGAACCACCTTTAAGGAGTTTAGACTATAGCTCACATTAAATCCGAATCCTTGCCCTATAATCCCAGTTTCCATTTCACTGTTCATATTCTTTTCCATTTGATTCTCCATGTTAGGGGACAATAACCCTATGGAATATAAACCCACATAAACCGCATGCGAACCCTAACAACCCCACGTAGTTACTCGTACCATTTTCTTTTCAATTCTCCTCTTAAATTCCTCTACATCCCTTCTAACTTGAAAAAAGCCGTGGAACCCCCAAACCCCAACCCCTAAACCCCCTCTTGATCCCTGCATGCCCCGATCTAGGTAGGCTTTATAAAACTAAGGATATAACTCCCCTCTAAACCCTAAACCTATTGCATAACCCATAATATGACCCCTATATAACCCCTACATCCTTAACCCTCAGCCCAGTTTAAAACCTATTATAGAACCCCTGCGCCGCAAACCCTAAACCCTAAACCCTAAATCCCCTACAGAATCCCCAGATGAGGCGTATAGAACCCCGAAACCCTAAACCCTAAATCCATTACACAATCCCAATAGAACCCACTCTAAAGCCTAAACCCAAAATCCCCATATTATCATAAAAACCTTAAACCTTAAACCCCCTAAATAATCCTGATATAACCTCCTATATAATACAACCCCTATTTAATTCCAGAAGAATCCTTCTACCCCAGTGGAACCCACCCTAGACCCTAAACCTGAAACCCCCATCATAATCCATATATAATTCCTGTAGAGCCCCTATATAACCCTCATAGAATCCGTATACCCCAATATTATTTACTCCACTATGGAACCCCTATAGTCCCCATAGAGCCCTCAGCCCTAAGCCATAGCACCGAGACTCCGAAGGAGTCGGAGCCGCTCGCGTAGGCGAAAGAGCCGGAGCCGGAGCAACGAGAAGGACGAGAAGAAGAGGATTAGGGTTTAGGATATTGGGGTTCTATAGGGATAATGGAAAAGAAAATGTAGGTGTTATATTGGGATTGCATAGGTCTAGGGTGTTTATTTTTTTGAAGTTATAGGTTTTGTTAGGGGTGGTTTTTATTAGGTTTTTAGGGTTTAGGATTGTTAGGATTTTCAAGATTTCTGAGGTTTAGGGTTTTTGAGGGTTAGGGTTTAGGGTTAGGGTTTAGGGTCTAGGGTTCCGGGCTTTTTGGGTTAGGGGTTACACAGGGGTCACGTATGTGCTATCTAGGGACATAAGATTATATAGGGATAATGGAAAAGGAAATGGAAACTATTATATTTAGGATTCAGGGTTTAAATAGGTTTAGTGGGGATTCATACGGACTTACATACGGATATGTAGGAGTATATAAGGGAATGGAAAACATTGATATTACATAAGGTTATTTAGGGATACTGCCCACTAAAAATGAACAACCAAATGGCAAGGAACATGGAAGAGAAATTGAAACTTGAATCATGAGAATATAGAGGGATGAGGGTGTTTGGGAGGGCACAGCAACTCATACAATGTTGCATAGGGTCGTGGGCAGGAAGTCGCGAAGACTACCAAGACCGACACCACGATGACAACCACTACAACTACCACAGCGACCATCAATTTCCCGGCACATGTCCCAGGGATGGCATCATTCACAGCAATTGTGTGAGTATGCTTGACTTGCATGTCTGCCTGTTATGGGCCAAGATGCAAACTGATCCCGCAAGCAAGTCATTTAGCAGTCGTTTGGACATGGAAACATTGTCGAAGCAATTTCTGCCTGGCGTCGAAGCCTGCAGGCCCCCATGCAGCCCATGCCTGATAAGAAGGGCGATTGGAAGGCCGGCAAAGACTTGCATGTGGACAGATCTTTGCGTCTCTCCTAATGTTGTGGCTGCCATGGTGCTAGTGCCTCGCACTGTAGGCACTTTATGTAGACAAACGGAGCGACAGAGCAGCTTGCATCAAGCTTCGTACACCTTGCGCAGGGTGGAAAAGGTGGCAAGGGCAAGGGCAAAGGTGCGAAGGGCTCCGGCAAAGACCGGGCCACGCAAATCTCCAAGGCTGGTCCGTAGAATGTTTACAGGCTCTGTTCAGAGTAGAGAATCTGGTTACATCTAACAGAGCGATTCACAGAAAGAGAGCATGTAAAGTTGCTCTAAGTAGACGGACTTTCTTGCCTGTCACCAGCACATTGCGTAGGACGCTGCTTGCAGCAAAGGCTCTTGCAAGCAAATAGAGTTGCTTAAATTCAATACAGTCTCTAGAGAAGCAAAGCACACCAAGTGTTCGTTGCAATTCATGCTGCTGTCTGCAGAAGCAGTGCTGCTCAGATTCAGCAAATGAAGGGCATGTAGGGCTCATCAGAAGGACCTCTATAGGGGTAAAGCCTTCAGATGTTGGAGGTGATTTTGGGCTAATATTATTTATAGCACGTATACTATGGTATATTATGGTAGGTATTATAGTATAGTATAGTTTATCATAGTGTACTATGGTATATCTTATAGTATATGATAGTAATATTGGGGTCGAGAAGCTGCAGGCCCTTGCTCGCGTGCTGCGGCACACGGCGGCCAGCCAGGGCATCTCTATCCGCGCAGATGGCTTTTGCAACTTGGAGGAGCCCATTTTTGGCGGGGTAGTATAACTATATGAACCATAGTCTAAACTCCTTAAGGGGGGATATATAGGGGATTATATAGGGGACTACTATAAGGGGTTATAGGGGGGATACTAGGAGTTTAGATTATAGCTCATATAAGGGTTATAAAGGGATTATCTGGGGATGATGGAAAGGACAATGGAAACTAGTACTTACGGTTTAGGGTTCCTTCTCTATACTCTAAACCCTAATCCCCTTAACCCGAAACCCTGAATCCTTAAGATTTCTGGGAGGATCTTCTGAAGGTGCCAGACTTCACCGTGCTGGCTTGCACGGCAGCAGAGGTGAAGGCAGGAAGACATGAGCTTTAGTCTCATGAAAAGGGGGTTAGGGTTTAGGGTTTGGAGTTCAGTGTCTAAACTCCATAAAGGGGGGTTATGTAGTCGATTCTATTGGGAAGTATTCCAGGAGTTACTGAGGGGAATGCTAGGAGTTTAGACTATAGCTCATATCATCAAGTTGAAGAGCGGGGAGTTGGCAAGCCTTCTTTGAGGTTGCGGTGGACTCGAACGACAAAAAGCGTTTCGAAATCAAGGAGGAGTCCGGTCAGGCCGGGGGAGCCGGGTCTTTGAGTATCGCAAGGCATGTGCAGTTCCAGGCTTTCGTGAGGGCCGTCCAGGGGCACTCCATGAAGGCCGCACCTGTGCCATGTTGCAGGGACTGGCCAAGGAGAAGCATGGGGAGGGGGGGGAAGCTCTCGAAGCCTGGTATGCAGGTTGTGGAGGATGAGAGCCTTCTTCACCGTCTTGGCGCTGTAGATGCTGACCTGCCCAGTGCAGAGCGGCAGCATTCAGGTTTGGGATCGGTTCCAGCAGGAAGGCGAGGACTAGGTGCACAACCAAATACCAGTCTTGTTGTGTCCTATTCCTGCACTGACTTTGAATTTCACTTGGGCCTCAGATAATCTGCAAGCCTTAGAAGCAAAAGGCCTTGACAAAAGAGTCTGACACCCCTTCGCCAGGTCTGTGTGCATGGCACGTACAAGCGCTGTGTGGATTCCATCAGAAGGTGCGTGGCCTGGCAATCACACCCTTCACTATTCACAAACTTACTGGTGGTTAGCAGGGAATAAAGAAATCCAATTCCTGTATACTATACTGCCTTATTCCCTACTGACCCCAGTAAGGCAAGGGGACGGACACAGAACATGTTGAACCATGTTTCACGGCTGTGAAGTTACGCAGGAGTGGCTTGATTGCTGGTGGTGGTGTGTCGGAGCGCAACCATGTGCACTTTGCTCCGTTCGAGCCCAACGACGGCCGCGTCATCTCTGGCATGCGTGCCTGGTTTGGAAATATGTAAAACTTACCGGTTCTTAGTAGGGAACAAGGGAATACATGGGGATAGTAAAACGATTTTATTTCCTTATTCCCCACGCTATCCACTACGTAGGGATTATCTTCCCGTATGCCCTACTAAGAACCAGTAACAAAAGGTCTGCTAAGTTTGCTTGCTATGCTGCACGGAGCTGATGAATTCTCAGGATACAACTGCGAGGCCTGGCTCTGGCATAGTATTGATAGTAACTAATATCAATAGCAACATAGTAACAGTAAAGATTGAAGGTAATGCTATTGATAGTATTGTGTTCAGTTATTGTAGTAGTAGTAGTAGTAGTAATAATAGTAGTAGTGGTGCTAGTAATAGTAAGAGTAATAGTAGTTACAATAATAATAGTTATAATGTGATGGCAATCGTTCGCATTGCGAATGCTTCTTGCGGTTGTAGGTACATTTTCATAAGAAGGATGCTAGATATTGGAGGTTTGGCAAAATTAGGGGCCGGATTTTGGGGGTCCCCACAATAAGGATCGCAGTATATTGGGGTACCTCTATTTATGGAAACTACCATACGTGCCCTAAGCCCTAAACCCTAAACCCTTAAAAGCTTGCCAGGTTGCCATCTACATCGATTTGCCAGCTGCTCTTCGAGTTGCTGGGCATGCAACCTCCAGTTGGGGTGATATAGGGTTTAGGGTTTTGGGGGGTTATATAAGGGTTATATTGGGATAATGGAAACGAAAATGGAAACTACTATTTAGGGTTTGGGGTTTAGGGTTTTGGGGTTCTAAGGTTCCAAAAAATGGATCCCCCAATATGAACCCAAAACTACATTGGGGAAGCTAGGGGATTATTTGGGGGTTCCATTTTTTGGATCCTTTAAGGGGAGTCTGGGATGGCACGCGTAGCCTTTGTAGATGCAGCGGACGTGGGCATGTTCTGAGGATGGGATTCCATTCTTCCGGAGTGCGAACCAGGTCATTCTCTCGCCCGGCAAAGGAGGAGTGATTCCTCCCAACTTCATTTCCAAAATTAAGGATTTGCAAACAGGAGCTTTCCTTTAATGACTTTAATGGCTGGCACATCCAGGCAGCAGTCCCAGGCATGTGGATCGGTGGATCCCAGATGCGCGACCCAGCGCCCCAAGCCACTTGATGCCGACAAAGCAAGTTGGCCTCAACAGAATCATTCTGCTTGGCAGGGAGCCCGCGATGAAGTTTCCGCGGCAGCTACCACTGCATGTGCATACGTAGTTCCAGGTGAGCTGTGTGCAACCACTGCGCACCGTTGAAGCCAGAGTCGGCTCGCAGCAGGGAGGGAGACAACAGACTCAAAACAAGAACATTGCTGATGCAGAGCTGTCGAACTCCCAAAAACTCTGCTTGTGGCAGGCGGTTGCCGCGGCAAAGTATCGACAGGAGTGGGCTTCGGGCGTTTACCTGACACTTTTTGCTTTGATAGCCGCAGTTCATTCATTCTAGGTTCCATAGATCCCCACGGGCACTTTCCAGCACTGTCCCTTCTGGTCTTAGTTTGGCACTTCTTGACGGAGAAGAGCGCTCGCACAATTTGCAGTTGTTTGCAAGGCCCGGAGGCGAAAAGAATGGCAGATGGGTGTGAAGGCTCAGCTCCACAATGCCTTTGCATACTGCAGATAGTAGTTGTAATGTTAACAAAAATAAAAATTCTAGTAGTAAACAGTCTTGTGAGTCAGTCAGCAGCTGAATCCGCCAGAGATAACCGGAGCCAGGAAACGCTGAAGACACTACGCCGACAGCAGGAAGAGGCGCTACTCCCAGTTCATGTAAGCTATAGTCTACACTCCTTTTTTTGGGGGGGTGGTTATATAGGGGATTATGCAGGGGAGTACTATACTACCAGTAGGAGTTTGGACTATGGTTCATGTAAGGCACGCACAGTTCTGTTTGAGCTTGGCTGAGCTTAAGTGCGATAATTGCTGCAAAATTTCTTCTTTCTGGGAAGTGTCGGCTGTGCAGGACCTGCGCTCTTGTTGGGACACGGTCGCAGCCATGAAGCAGCGACGACATGATGAGGTTCGCCAAAGTTTCCCGTGGCTCTTGTGCAGCTTGAGAAAAGCATGCAGACAAGATTGGTTTAAGGCAAAAGCATGGAAAGATCGGCTTGACGCTGAAAGAGCAGTCACAGCAACCCAGCGGGAGAAGGCAAGAATGCGCTGAATTTCTACTTTTCTTACTAATACTGTTATTATTATTATTACTGTTACGATTATTACTATCAATACTATTATTGTTACTGCCACAATTGTAGGATCCCGTTGGCTTCTCTCATGGCATTGCAGGATGGAAAGATATGGGTGGAGAAGTTTGCCACCGTCCAGGAAGAGGCTCATGATGACAATAGAAGCAGTAATAACAATAACAGAAAAAAACAGTTAAAAAAAGGAGTAGTATTAATTATAATGATAGTAGTCGTCGTCGTCCTCAGCGCTCCCAGGATGGCATGCCCTGAGTACATTCACCTCACGCAATCTTACGCGTTGCAGTTCTCTTGCAATGCTTGAGCTTTGGACATTAACCGCCGCCGCCGCTGCCGCCCCCCCCGCCACCACCACCACCAC